ACTTCCTGTTCATTCACAAATCAATAGATGGCAAACATAGCCATTCATATTTTACTTTCTGTTGATCTATGAATAAACACCGGGGTGATCAGCAGGGGATACAGAATGAAGATGTCTGCCTGCTCCCATTGGATAGGATCTGTGTTGGCAGAGCAGCAGTGGTGGTGGGGGTAGGATGGGGGAGGGATTGTCATATTTTGAACTAATGGATGTGATCATTGACTTGTCAGCCGCTGACTATAGCTATTGATTTAATCAGCTCAGCCAGGGGCACTATTCTGATATAAGTTTATGGTCGCTGATATACGTTTTTTTCCTACAGCCAGTTCCTGGCTATTTAGTAAAAGCAATCTGGGTGGCTGCAGTGCTGCCTGATCAATTTTACATGACTCAGGTTGCCATCCACCTCTCCAGACACTCCACCACCCCGGTTCCCGGGCTATCCTGCTCCTCATGGGAACCCAAGGTCCACACAAAAGTCAGGATGGTGAGTGGGAGGACATCAGGGAACATCCATTGTTCCTCTGCAGTGTGTGAACACTGAAGCACTCAGCTCTGAGCATTTCTGGGTTCTGAGCTGTCAAAATCCTGGCTACAAAGCTGGGTAAACGGCTGATCAAGCAGTGCATGTGCTCATTCGACTGCAGCAGAGATATTAGGGTATCTACCCAGTGCCATTGCTTAGGGGGCATAGGGTGGGCAAATCTATGTGTAAACAACAATTGCGCAACACATATTGAGTTTCACCTTGCACGCCAGAATGGGACAGATTATTTTAAATCCATTGTTTGGAATTGATGAGATGTAAAGGTATTTAAAGTGTATTTCCACATTTGCAGTCAAATTTCAGAAAACCCCTCTATGTTTATACTAACATACCTACATTTAAAAAAAAAAAAAAAGGTTTTGTTGCATAAGGCAACATGACTGAATCTAGTTTTTTTCTGAGCACCTTCACAGTGATCTCTCCTTTTTAAGGTGGCCATACAGCTTACGATTATCGTCGTACGATTGTTGTACCCCCCATTATGCTCCGATTATTGCAAGGTTTAATTAGCCGTAATTAAAGAAAAGCACCTGGATGAATTGCAGTAATCAACCGCATGTATTTTCTTTTGCGCATGAGCAGTGTAGATCGTACGATTTTTGACGTACGGAAACGCCACTAACCTTGCAATAATCATACGATCGACCGAAGTTTTCAAACATGCTTGAACGTCCAAAGTCGTACAGTATTTGCGGTTGTACACTGCCCATACACCTTGCGATTATCGGACGAATACACGATTGCATACGATCATCGTACGATAATCGGAAGGTGTTTGGGCACCTTAAAGGTGGCCATACACTTTACAACCATCGCAAGACCTTAGTCTTGCGATGGTTGTAAAGTAATTTAAAAAAACGTACGATCTGCCCATCTTGGACAGGCAGATCGCACTCTCGATCATCGCAAGCCCGCCCCCCTGAGGGGTGGGCTTTTGATGACCGCAATGCTGAATGGGCAGTGTGCGCGTGCGCACACCGGCCCGTTCGGCATTTGTCTCCCGAGCACCGTTCAAATTTTCGGCTGGTTTTTTTAGCGTGCTCCTTAGAAAAAAGACGTGCGACCGTACAGTAGAAACGGTCGCACGTCTTCGGTCACACTGCTCGATTCTCGTACGATCGCGGGATTTCTCGCGATTCTCGTACGAGCAGTGTATGGGCACCTTTAGAAAGACTTGGGACTGAAATTGGAGGATTGTGTTTCTTTCATTAACATTTGAATGCAGATGGTGGGTTGTAATCCTTTAACCCCTCACAGCCCCTCCTAACAAAGAAGGAGAAGCAAGTAGAAAATTTAACCCTTAAGAACCCAAATAACACACCATTGTTTCTCAAAATATGGAATGTGTACTGTTGGAAGTTCAATGGTTCAGAGCTATTCAACTCTGCTGTAGGCGATGGTTGGCAATGCCCAGAATTTCTGTACAGGACGGATGCTAACTGTAACAATGTCCTCCTAGTGATATCATTCTGATTTATGAATATGTTACCATAATTGCCTGCTTCTTGGATTTCTGTTGCTGTTATTAAGGTGGCAGTATTATGATAGGTCACTGGCTTTGTAAGTGGATGTTAAAGTTCAATTAAACTACGCGGCCTGTGCCGTGGGCACGGCGGCCGCAGCGTGTGACGTGTGGCTCAGGCCGCATGTGGAGCCCGGAACAGCCCCGAACAGGCAAATCAATCGATAGCCGACGAATCGACGATAGAAAACGTTGCCAACGTTTTCAATCGTCGATTTTAATCGACTAAATCGATTAACTGTTGCAGCTCTAAAACAGATGGTGCATGGCAAAAGTTTTTCCAGTGGTACACAATCAACTATGGTTTGGCAAACAATGCAATATACCCACACACAATATCTAATCTCTGATTCCAGAGATTACTGTCTACATCCCTGATGCCCAACCTGTGTGTTTGAGGCCACATGCTGCTCTTCTTGTGTGGACCTCGGGGTTCTTGCAGATGGTAGTCAGTGTTTTCCTTCCCTCTGTGCTTACTTAGCGGTAAAGAGGGTTTTCTAGTAGGTAAATGGCTTGGTTCATTTATTTCACACTCTTATGTTTTTCTGTGCTGTCCATCACTTTCTCTTGTTTTATATATTTTTTAGAATTAATCTTGGCACAATGTACAGGCGCTGTAATAGAGTGAACCCTAGTAGTCTCATGCAGTGTTTCTCCAACAACTCATACACTTAGGGGGTGATTTACTAACCTAAACACATGCACGCACTAGGTGCGTGTGATTTTTACACAGCAAAACGTATTTATCAACCAAAAAGTCTCTAAAAGCATATTTCCACTAATGCCATAGATGGAAAAATCATGCACATGATGCATATATAATGCTGCTTCACAGTTTAAACAAAAATGGTTAGCTCATGCATTTACATTCCTGCATTCATCAACGCAAGCAACACAATGTAGAGCTAATTTACATAACATCACCTTGCAATTCATGCTTGGCTTTGCACAACACACCTGCTGGGTGTGTACACACTACAAAGGTGTCTAGATTCCACCAATAGATCATGCTGGGAGGGAACACACTACAGAGGTGTATACTTGTTTGTGGCGTGTTTATAAAGTTAGTAAATCAACCCCTTAGTCTCTGACCATATCTTGGATCTTGACCATCTCTTGGAGCGTGTCAGAAGTCTCTTGACCATCTCTTGGAGCGTGTCAGAAGTCTCTTGACCATCTCTTGGAGCGTGTCAGAAGTCTCTTCATCATCTCTTGGAGCGTGTCAGAAGTCTCTTCATCATCTCTTGGAGCGTGTCAGAAGTCTCTTGACCATCTCTTGGAGCGTGTCAGAAGTCTTTGAACTTTTTTTTTTAGCATTGCATTCTGTGAGAATGATGTGTGGCCCTTTGGTGATGTCAGGGGCTGCACTTGAAGCCCCCGGTATGAAAGCTGAACACCAGTGATCTAAATAATTCAACAAAGTCATGCACATATACATCTGATCTTTGGCAACTTTCTTTCCTTTTCCTCTCCTTTTAGCATGAAAATGTTGACTAATGTTGATAGAGAGCAGTACTCAGACAATATGGTCTACAATCTAAATTGTTATTTTGTAGTTGTTGCTCATTTCTTAAGGTGCCCATACACCTATCGATTCTCACTCGGAAATCATCCACAAATGGTCTTTTGAACGATAATCGATCAGTTGATGGGACAACAACGATTTTAATTACTGTGCTCCTGGCTGAATTTCCTTGATTGGTCAGGCTGGAAAATGTTTTTTGAATCCTATGAAAATCTGTAGATTTCACAAAATTTGGTTTGTTTGTATTGCTAATGAACCAATTATCTAAATCAACATTGGGCTATGCATGATGGGCTATTTGAGCTAGAATCGAAAATCTATAAGTGTATGGCCAGCTTTCGTGTCTTTATATTTAAAGCTGAACTTTAGGCACAAAAATATAATTTAAATATGTTCCTTAAAAGGACACAAAGAATATAAATCCACTTTGTGTGCACCAAACCCCAGATATTGTCTTGTAAAAGTAGAAGTGACATCATCATAGCCTGTGCAGAAAACAGAGCTGTGGGAGAGACCAAGCAGGCTCCACCCACTACAGGCTGCCTGCAGAAAACACAGGCGGAGGGATAGGAAGAGCTGTCACCCTGCACAGGGAGAGAGAGCAGCAGCTCTAGTCGAGATGGCGGTCTGATCACAGTTTGATTCAGTTCGCGACCAATTCCAGAATCGTGGAACAAATTAAGTTTGTGAACCGAGGTACCACTGTATATTAAACATTGGGATATACAGTAGTTTCTCTTTTTTCACACAGCTCAGTGGTCTATAAACCTGTTCCATGATTGTGTCTTTTCACTCGGTTAGAAGGGACGTTAATTGTAATGGTTCAGAAAACTGTGATGGGAAAGGCATGTATTTGTCACTGTGCTGTCTCATTAGTTCTAAAAGAATGAATGAAGCACAGGGGAGAGTTGACCAGTTCACCATCTGCATTCAATCTGTCTGAGCCAATTAGGGCTGAATGTCTGCATATAGCTTGTGGCATATTGCAGAAATGAAAGTGAACATTTTACAGGTCCAATCACAGAGCTTTTAGAAGTTTTTTTTTTTCTTTACTCGCCTTATATTTAGGATTTTCACGTATGTAATGATACGAGTTTGACAGATTATATTCAAATAATAATAGTGGATAGTGATGCTAAATGATAGTGTCAGTTAACATGTGGTGGCCAGAGCAGACAGCCTGGAAGGAGATTAGCCGAGATTACCCATGTTTTTAATCTTAGCCCAGTTCCCAGTGGCAAAGCATATTTTCAAAATCATTCCTACTTTTACCTTG